GTCTTACCCCTAGGTTCTTCATGACCTTTGAAAATGTATATATTTTTAAGTAAAGAATAATTGTACCAATTAAAGATAAGTATCAATAATAGGTATTTTAAAAAAGAGCTCCTTCAAAAAGAAATGAAACAGATTCTTAATTATTAGCATATTATTAGCATAATAGCACAAATATTTGGAAGTTTTTAATAGATCAAAATGATTTAAGCTTGTTTTGAAATTTTGGATGTATTTCTGACTAAGTCCCTGAGCTTTGAAAATATGTTTCATTATCTCATACAACCCTTGATGAAGAAGCCCCATTTCTCTATGTAATAGTTTCATCCTAAAATATCTAGTCTTGATCATTCCTTCTTTGGTTTCCATTACAGGTCTTCAAACCAAGAAATATAAAGATGCATCTGGTAAATTTAGCATTCAAGCAGGTGTGTTCTCCCAATACATACCTGAAATATTCAGTATCAGTCAAGTGTTTTAAGTAGTCTTTTCTAATTAAGCAGGCTTATGTGAGCAGATTCTTCCCTGTAGAAAGAACCTCTTCGTAAACAGCCACCCTTCCAGTAGTTAGACCTTGTAATGTTGCAACACTTTTTATTTTTATGCCTTTCATAATCCCCAATTGCCATTCATTTAGATTCAAGACTTGAGCACTTAAAATGAGGTTACATCAGGGGAGTTCTGAAGATGGTAGAGGAGTATTTTTTCCGAAGACTTGCTTTTGAAATATGTTTTACAATATTTTATAAGGTATTTTTTTTTCAGACATAGACCAATCTTTCATAACATCCTAACATGTTTACTACCAGGCAGAACTTGATTGATTTGACCTGGTCATAAAAGTGTGCTTTTATATCAATTATCCAAAAAAAGAATTACAGTTCTCTTTTCATAATGACTCTTGTATTAAAAGCAACAATTAAATACTTTCTCATCTAGTTTTTCATAGAACCATGCAATTTCTTTATATGATCCATTTGGTATTAATCATTTTTTAAATTTGTTTACAGTAAAGAAATTGAAATAGGATGTGTAATCCTACCTACTGTGGGTTTTTTCAGCTGAAATTTTAGTGACGCAATCAAATTAGAATCCCATATTCCAATTGGCACTCAAGTTTGCCGTTCTTGGCCCTTCATTTCCCATTATTGTTAGTCATAGTAATTTTTTACTTCCCTCCTCTATTTCATTCTCTGAAGAGAGACTAGTGAGCCCATCCAGCATAGAGAATAAATTTGTTTTCTTCATGTACTGACTAGTTTCACTCTTTGATCTATTGAGTCATTCATTCACTAATCATTTGCACTATGAGGAATATAAAGATTAAGTAAGTTTCTATCATCTCTGTAAAGTAAACCATCAGGGAAAGAGGTGAATTTTATTCATATTTTATTCTCATCCTCCTACTTCTTCTTTTACTTTTCCACCTTCAGTGACTCTTTCAACCTGTCAAACAAGTTTGCACTTAAACACACTAAAAATGAACCTTCATTTTTATATTAATATCTATATCTCTTCAGTATGCATGGTGAAGTATTAATTCAGAATAACTGGTAACCATTTACAATCAACAAATCAATCATCAATAGCAAATTCAGGGTCTGTGGTTGTTGTTTGTTTTAAAGTCAAGTCTTCTGTGATATGCTTTGTACCGTGCCCAGTATGCAAGAGGTATTCAATAAGTGGTTACTGAAAGAATATGTCAACCTCTCCAAATTTCAGAAATATTGTATCTGCTTCTTGTAGACCCCTTGTCTGCTCTATTCTCAAAGGAAATTAAATTGTTCTCTTACTCTTTCTTTATAACAAAGCTTCTTTGCTTATTGCCCAGGAACACTGTTCTGAATGGTTGACAATCTATTGTTTGACGATTTGTCCAGACATCTTTCCTGAGTTCACTGTGAGTTGAGAATATTAACTGCTAATATAGCTCATTTTACTTCTAAGATTGGGCTCTAAAAAATTCTTCCCAAATATTTGGTACCGTCTCCTATTTTGTATTAATTATGAAAAATACTATCTAATGACTTTGAAATGAGATTTCCAGTTCTCATGTTTCACATCAACAAAGTCGCCTTATTTGAATTCACATGTGTGTTTTAAATGTTCTGGAAGAATCTTCTTTTGTGTTGTAGTTTGGCTTGGGGCTACTCTGAATTTGGTGGTTTCCAGTTAACTAGTCAGAACTGAACATGGTCAATTAATTGCCTGTTTCACAATTTCAGAGGCCCAGTTGCTATATGTAAGATCAAAGGAAAATACTGCCCCCCAAAAAAGCTAGTTAAGCATTACTTTTTCCCCCTATTTCAACCATATTTTTCTCATTTAGGTGGTGATTTTTGCTTGCTAGCTGGAAATTTTTATACCCCTTATAGAAATAAATAAGCATCTATGCATTTCCAGTTCTTAGAAATATAAAGAACTACAAATTTAAAAAAATCTGTATAGATTTAAAAAATCTATATAGACTTCTATGCAGACAGTACCTTATGAAATTCTGAACTCTCATATTATTTTTTTCACTTCTACATATACTTATTCTAAACAGAAATTTTTCTAAAACTACAAGCGTTCGTAGAAATCATCTAATTTAAATATTTCATTTTAAGAAAATGGTTCAGACCTACAAACACTTTACAATGTGTTATTATAAATACCTGTGTGGTCAACATTGAGTATGAGAAAGAAAGCGCTGAACATTGGGTTGAGGCTCCCCACAATGTCTTTCCAATTTCATTAACTTTGGTTCATCCCAGAGATAACCTATGCCCTGAATTTCATGCTTATCATTATCATGCATGTTTATATAATTTTGCTACATACACATATGCTCAAAAACAATAGATATAATTAGATATAATAATGTTTTAAAACTTGATACATAAATATATCATCCCACAAGTACCTTTCTGCAACTCTGCTTTTGTTGTTGCAGCTCCACATTGCACTTTTGAGGTGCAGTCATGCTAACTCAAGTAGCTATAGTGCATTCACTTTTCTTTTTACTGCATCTAATATTGCAGTATGTGAATATTCTATAAATTCCTTGTTCACTAATATATCCAAAGATGTTTTTATTTTTTCTCTTTCAAGTAATTTTGCAATGGGTATTTTCCATACATGCATAGAGACCTAGAGAAGAATGCACGAGTGGAGAGACTGGATTTTGGGATGGAAGAATCTTTATTGCTCATTCTCTTGAAAGTTGTACTATTACCTGTTCTTCACGGTTTCTCCACATCCTCATAAATATTTCATATTGCTGGACTTATAAAATTTTGCCAATTTCATAGTTGTGAAATGATAGTTCATCATTTTAACTTGCATTTCTCTACTAACTAGGGAAATTGAATACCTTTTTCAGATGTTTATTGGACATTGAGAATCCTCTTCTGTCAACTGACTGTTCATCTTGTTGGCTCATTTCTTTTCTATAATATTTTTGTCTTTATCGATTTATAAGAAATCTGTATGTACTTGGATACCAATCCTTCTTTGGTTATATAACCAGAGATATCGCATAGCAAATATATTCTCTCAGTCTATGCTTTGACTTTTTGTATGTACATACATTTTTTTCATATGCCTAATCTATTGTCTGAATAATTCATCTTTCCTTACTGCCCTCTAATGCCACCTGGTATTTATCAAGTTTCCATAAATGTGGGGATAGATTTCTAAGCCCTCTATTTTGTTCCCCTGGACCAACTTCTAGCTATGAACCAAAGCTCCATTGCCTCAATTACTGTCATTATATATTAAGCCTTAATAGTCAATATAGAAATTCCCCATACCTTGTTCTTCAAAATTGTATTGACAAGTTTTGACCCTTTCCTCTTGTATAAACACTTTAGAATTAACTTTTCAAGTTCTATGAAAAACTACAGTGGGCTTTCAATAATAATTACTTCAGTTTTATAGATTAATTTACAATTGAGTCTTCCATCCAGGAGCAAGTATACTTGTTAGTTTATTTGAGTTTACTCTTTAATTTTAATAGATAAATTAACCCTGGGTCAGAAGTGACTGCTCAAAGTCACATAGCCAATTAATAACAAAACCAGTGGTAGAAGGAAGATCTCTTGACTCCTTAGTAGCTCGTACACTAAAAACATTTAATTATTTAGTCAGTTAAGAAAGAAGACCTTGGAGTCCTTGCAGCTACTGCACCCACCAGCAGGAAAGTGAATTCAACTTCCCGAGTTTACTAGGCCCTTGATAAATCAGAGTGTAGTCAGAGGGCTTGCTAGAAATGCAGAATTTCATCCCTTCCCTGGTCCTACTGAATCAGAATCCTCATTTTTAAAAGATCCCTGGGTTATTGGTAGGCACATTAAAGTTTATGAAATATTGCTTACCAAACAATCCTGAAATTCATTGCATTGGTTGTTTTTCTCTAAAACCTGCCAAAAATGCATATATATATATATATATATATACACACACACACACACACACACACACACACACACACACATATGAATATTCCTTTAAAGGAAACAAAATGTTAAGGGTTTTTCTAAAAACAGTATATCTCAGGAATACTGAGTCTTCTTTTGATATCTGTAGTTATTCAGGAAACAAATACATTTGCTTTGAAATCACTAGCTGCCCCAAATTGGCCTTTTAGCTACTATAAGCCATTGGGGAAAATTCTGTAGAAAAAAGATGGAATACTGCAGAGACAGAAGCACAGAAGATTCAGTCTTTAAAGTAAAACAAAGAAGAAAGATCAGACGATTTTTTCAAGTAGTCACATACTATTCATGTTAATCTCTGTTCAGCCTTCTTCTTGTTTCACTACTATAGCAGCCAGTTATCTACAGGGGGGAGAGGGGAGGGGAAAAAAAAAACGGTGAGGAGAGGGGATTAAAAAAAAAAAAAGTGAGATCCCTGCAATATCACGTCAAGCCACTAGGGGTATCTTTGTACCATTTTTCATCCTGCACTGATTTGGAGTAGAAACCTATATTAGGGGAAAACCAGGGTCCTCGGCATTTTTTGCGAGCAGTGCACCCAGAATCCAAAAAAGACTTTAAAAAGAAAGAAGGAAAGAATCCACAGTTCTTTTGGTCATCTGAACAGGGCTACGAAATCGCTCTACTGGACATCAGCACCAGGAATTCATTTTTGAGGTCAATTTCCAATCGAGATAAATCTATTGGATTAGTAGGATTATCTGATTGCAGCTGAAAGAAGTAACGTTGTTTGATCATTTGTATTTTTCGCCTGATGGTCGGATTTACATGGAGGTGGCTTTGAGTCTCAAGGATTCTGGATCGTGGTTGCATCTGGAGAGAAAAAAGGATCAATCGACACGTTTTGGAAGTGTCCGTGGGTGAATAAAAAAAAAGAAAAAAAAAAGGAAGGGGGGGCGCAAAACTGGGGTTGCGGCTGCTTAGAGAAGAAAAAATTAAAATAAAGGAAGCATCTTGAATTCTGAAACAAGAATTAACCGGGTGCTCGAGATTCCAAAATAAGCGTCTAGGAACTGGTAAATACTTAGAGCAATTCAGCTTGAATTTGACAGCGAAGTGTTGCAGAAACTGTCTCCTTGAATTATTGGAAGGGGACTGGGGGAAGATGAGGGGGCTCCTTCTGTGGATTTATCTTACTGAGGGTAAGTGTGGGGTTTTTTATTGGGAGGGGGCTGCCTGGGTCTGTGTGCCGCCGCGCGGAAGGTGCTGCGGACACGGTGCCTGTGAAATGGAAAGAGAAGTGGGGGATGTAGACCACCTCGCGCATCTCCGGTGGATCGCTAGGGAGCTACCTAGATCGAGCTTAAAAACCTTATTTTGTGGCGTCGGTGGGGAAGCCAAGCAACCCTCCAAGCTCTCAAGTTTGTATTGAAAATCTCTCAGTTGGGAGATCCCTCTTGGATCTAGTGCTTTCTCCTAGTGATACTTTAAGGAGAGGCGGCAGCGATGCCTTGGAAAACCTGCATGTGGAAGGGGGGGGGGGAAACCCAAGTAGAAATCGCTGCTGCCTTGGCCGCGGTTTTGGTGGCTGTCTTGGCTTCCAGGGGGAATTGGCCGTTTCATATTGTCTCTTTCTCCCTCGCTCTTTCTTCCTTCCCCTTCCCGCCTCTCCCTCCTCTCAGAAACACCAAAGGGTTACAGGGTCACTGCATCGGATAGAGACAGTAGATGTGGGTGACTGGCCACACATGTTGTTTTGTAATTCACTTGCTCGACTTTGCATAATACAGTCCGAGGTAACTTTCTTCGAGTTGGACGAGTCCAGGAAGGCGTTGCAGCCTTTCTGCCGAGGGCCCAGGCTGGCAAGTGCGCCAGGCAGCCGGCTGCATTTCTGATGGATCCCTACCCTGGCTCCCTCGCCAGTTACTGGCTTTTCTTTCCAACTGAGCGGTGCGCGCGTTCCCAGACATTTTCTTGCAACTGAATTCAGGGATTTTTTTTCTTTTTCTTTTAAAATGTTATTTCATTGCTCTCAGTAAAAGCTCGTCGTTATTTACAGTAGGAAAATCAATTTCAGCAGATATAATTAAAATTAATCACTCAAATGAGTGAATATTAATTGACTTAGGAAACTGTAAGTTGCTTTGGAATCAGAAAAGCATATTATTCTGAACCAATTTTGGAGTCCACATAGGTTCAGAACAATTATATATGAAGAAGTGGTTCGTTTAAAATATGTAGATAGATATGTTAAATAAGTTAATGCACTCCCCTCCCTTTATAAGCTTCTAATACCTCAGCATCATAGTTTTAGTTGGCTTTTCCTATTTAAGGCCAATTTGTTAAATTTTAAACCTCAGACGTTCAGCTGTATTAGAATAAAATGGAGATATATAATAGTTAAACTATAAAATAATGTATTTTCTACATTTTAATCTTTTAAAGAAAAGCATCAAATATTTTTTCAGGGGTTTCTGTTTATAGATTATGAAATGTGACCTTTATGGTTTTAACATTGAAACCTCTTCATTAAGTGTGAACTCATTGAAAGGCAACTCTTCAATATCATCTAAAGCACTCATCATCCCAATACTTATTTCAGGAATTCCAGATACATCAGACATTCAGGTATTAAAAGAGGAGCCTCACCAAACTTTCTTCCTGGATTTGTGTGTGTATATGTGTTTCGTAAATCTAAACACTGAAACAAGAACAATGCCATTCCTTTTTTAAGATTAAATAGTAAAATATGAAACTCTTGTCTCCCAAGGATTCTACAGTGGAAAAGTTACTTATTTCTGCAGGCTTTGCGTAAGTTTTTCTAGAGATGATAAAAACAGTAAGAAATAGTTTCTATAAGCCTAACTGTTAGTTTTAAGAAGATATCTGAGAGGTTGGGTTTGCCTTTTTTTTAAAAAAAAACGCAGCTCTAAATCACGTGGTTTATGTGCAGCAAGAACTAGAAGAATGGATATTCTGCATTTTGTTACATTCTAGCCACTGATGCTGGCCACAGAGTCCACTAATATTAACATCTTTTTCAAAGTTTAAGTTAAAAAAGACAGCTAGCAAGTAACACATTAAATGATAATAGTAAATCAATAATGAAGGTGAATGGGAGATGGGCTGGGATTCCTCTTTTTAGACTAGTAGAGAATATAATGTTGATACTATAAAAGTAGATGGAGAATATGAAATATGAAAAAGGAAGTCATTTTAAAATTTAATTTGCATATTTCACGACCACTGACGCAGTGGTCATGGCATGTGCCATAGTGCTAAAGCCAGAAGAGTCAGCTTAAAGGGCCTTTGTAATGGCTGAACAATATTTTCGTTTGTTAAGAATAATCAATACTTAGTAGTCCCTCGTTCCATTTTCTTTTGGCAGTAAAAATGAAAAGGGGGAAACTTCGGCCCACTCTATGGTTTCTACAAGCGGTTCCTACATAAAACTCTGGTAAACTTTGTAGGTGGTAGATCCACTTTGGAAGGTTAATAATGATAGAAATAAAAATAAACAAAATGATACACCACAAAAAAATTTTAAAGCTGTAGCCAGTAAATGAAGAGCAAGTTACCCAGTTACATAAAAGTTCTCTATTAATAGAGTGGATGACTCTAAGAACTATTGAAAAACCTGAAGAGTTCATTTAGAAAATTAATTACATTTGCTCTACTTTATCCAAATACATGTTTTTTGGGTCATGATTATTAAAAAGAACATGGTAGCCTTGATCAGCTGTTTCAATTTTGCTGTTGAATAACACAAAATGTGGTAGTTTGGGGTAAAGAAATAGAAACTCTCAATTAGCCCTGAAAGTTGCAAGCACAGTTCCTAATGTATGTGACAAGAAATAGCGTTGGATTCCCCCAAGCTTATCACCATGGAAAAACTAATGTTGATTCACTGGAGCTTTGCCGCACCTGTCTCTCGAAAGCCTTCCATGTGTTCTAGCTGGCCTGACATTCAGGGGGTGCTGAATACATTTGCTGCAGATTCGTTCCATGATTTTGAGACATTTAAATACAGTTAAATATTATTCTACATTAACTGATTTTTTTTAAAGAAAATTGCTACACACTCTTAATTGAAAGAAAAATGAAAAGGGCAATCCTTTTTTAATGATTTGTTGAAATTTAACACATGGCTTCTCAAAGTGCAAATCTTCCATCTCTTCTGCTTTATCAAGAAATGCAAAAAAATAAAACCCTTAAAACTTAAAAAGTTTCAATATTTAATTTTGCAAAGCACAGAAACATTAAAAAAATTAACATATAGAACACTCACGATGAATTTAAGGTGTCCTTTTAAATACCTTTTAAAAGGTAATTTAAAACATTTTGAGGTAGCTAACCTCTTAATGTTGTGGGATAGCTACATTCTCAACTGTTCCTAAGAATAATTCCTTAATAGTAACAGGTTTGATTATTTATGCTTTGTTATTAATGGCATCACATTGACAATGTCAAATTTTGCTATGTTGCTATAAAAGGATATGATATATTTCTGCCTTCAATATCTCCCCCCCCAAAGAAAACCCACCTATTTGGTAGCAAACATGTTTGAAAGAGAAAGACTGCCAACTCTAAGCTTAACTGAAGTCAGGGAAAACTAGTAAATCACTCCAGACATTTGAAATTATTAGACATTAAACTTTTGGGGGATTTTATATGAAGTCTTTTTATAACAGTCGATATAATCTCTTCTGTGTCTATTTCCGTTGCATGTAAGAGAAATTCTAGTCAATGGCAAAATGCTTTACTGCTGCCATTACTGCAGACTTTATAGATGAGAGATGTGTCAGCATGTTAGCTTTAGCAGTAATGCCTCTTTTGTGTGAAACCTTATGGGCCTTACAGGCACTTTCTCATCCTGACACTCATAAAACATTCAATTCCCCATATTTATTATTTAATTTTCTTCCTATATATAGCAACAGAGCACTTCAGTATATGAATGCGTACCCAAAAAAATGACAGGCAAGCATGAATGGGACTAATGAGCTTTAATAATACACATATTAGGGGTTGCTAAAGGAAGTTTAATTAAGAAAAACAAGTTGAGCATGAAATTCATTTTGGAACAAATGCAAGTTAAGTTATTTCTACAGATGTAAAATCAAAAATCACAGGGATACATCACAGGAAATAAAGTTCCAGCCTGAGACTAGACCTACTAAATGCAGTTGACATCTTAGGACCTGCCTTTAAGTTGATGAGCTTAGATCTGACTTATGAAATCGAAGAATATACACTTTTTCACAGTTTTCACTCTTCTATAGCAATTTTGGTTTAGTACATTAACTCTGTATCCAGGCATGTTCTGTATTAGTCCCCTTGAGACAGGCCACACAGTAGCCTTTCATTTTTCTATGGTCTACTTTTCTAATACCACATATGCCTGCAGGTAGGGCTACCTGCCAAAACCCATGCCATCCCTTTGGGTGTGCTGTAAGTGGTGCTTCCGTAGGAGGTCTGCTCATATATCAATTTACCTGCACCTATAGTTTAATTTTTGGCATAATTTAGAAAATAAGTGGATTTATTTATCTGTTTGCTTGCTTATTTATTTATTTGGTAGTGGCATTGTATATTGGGGCAGAAATTGAAGGAGGGAGAGAATATTGGGCAAATATTTCCTTAGAATGTGGTTTTCTCATATTTTGTCTGTATTTAAATAATGTAGGTACATTCTGGGAAGAGTGAAGCAGTCAGGCAATAATATGAAGGTCCTCCTTCACATTATTATGTGTGCTCCTCAACAACTGCCTTTTTGGAAACATCCAATTGATAGGCTAATTTATTATTCATACAGACCTTTGGCATCACTTGTGTGTAACAGTAGTTTTTTCTTCCTTGAAACACCCAATGACTATTGAGTCTTCAGAAGAAAAGAGGTTAGTTGTAACATTTCAAAATGAATTGAAAATCTTGCCTTTTTTTTAGATAGTTATGGTGAATACTTTCATACTGTCGTATGGAATACTCCATATTGGAACTTTAACATGGTCACACATTAAATCAATAAATACTGATTTGATAAAAAACTAACTTAGAATTATCACTGGCGTAAGTTTTTCCCATAGGACAACCATTCCGCTTATGATAGAACTGACCAGGAAAACAGTGATTACTACATATCACATTGACCAACAGTTATCACAGTATTCACACCTGAAAATAATACTTGAGCCATCAATTC